GAATGTTAAAGTTTAGAAAAAATAAAAAAGTTTGACTAATATAATTGGAATAAAAAAACTATTAAAGCACAGACACATGATCCATTTAATAAAACAACTTAATAATGATAATAAAATTGTTATCTATTACGATTCTGATGAATTGTAATGTGTAATGCTATATTATTAGACCAATAAAGAAATCCACTAAAGAATTTATTAATTGTTTATATGGCACAATTCGTATATGCCAAATTTACTGTTGCATCAACCCTCCTTATATTCCCTTAAAATGGAGCATTTAATGTCCCATTCATTTTAATTATATATGTGACACTCTCGTAAATATAAACTATGATCGTTTCAGTACAGTTTTTGAAACCTTAAACAACATTATTTCTATTTAGTACATGTAACAAATAATTTTGCCCATACAAACTGTTTTCAATAAATTAATATTAATTCAAAGTTTCAAGACTGTACCATGTACATATTTTCGTTCGCACTACTTATTACGTTCAATCCATGTATTATGTTCATATTTTTTTTTCTTTGATAATAAAAATACAAGCAGTACAATGAAAGTTATAGAACTCAACTATCCGTGAATTTTAATTGGTACGTGTGTACATTATTGTTTGTTTTTCCTGTTCATGTATACAATTAATGTTGTGTCTAGATGTATGGTGTTGGACACATGTAAAATACGCAGATGTGTGTTCTGTCTCTGAATGAGACACCTCAAAGTGAGTCATGATATAATACTTGAGACTATAATATGATGTGTAAGGATAGCTGAAACCTTACACTCTTATTGATGTTCTATCCATAAATTATTTTCAGTGGCATTGCTATAAAGCCTGAATCATTTCCATACCCCTATCTTAATATTTAATTTTGGAGTATGATTCTTTACAAGAAATAGTCTGGTGTCCGCCTAGTAACGTGTGGTTCTCCGCGTCTTGGAGCTGGGTCAAATTGAAGGCTGAAAAGCGAGTTGTTATGAATATTACCTATCTTATTGTGTTTTAAATAAACTTTTTGGTTGAACTTACAATGAATATTTTAAAGCATCATCTAATTCCATGATTGCAGCTTGATTTCCACAGCGATAACAATAATTAGGTGCTGAGAATATAGTTACAACATTACGATCGTGACACCTGTAGAAATAAGTGCGAACTATGATAAGTATACTATAAAATATACTGCATAAGAAATATGTACATATAATGTACAATAACATGTGTTAAATATTTTAAGTAGCGATTCCTAAAAATTAACGTGAAACGAAAAAGGAGAAATAACGATATCACTGTAACAGCTGATTTTAAAGTTATTTCATCGATTTCTGATTTACCAATAATGACTCACGTAAGTCAGATCAGGAAGGACATAGACAATAATATGCGGTGATAAAGACAGAGAACAGACGTACGTTTGCCTATAGGTCGATCTTAATCGTTAATAACTTGAAAAGCAATGCCGTTATAGCAAAATTGTTATTCTTGATTTTAATCTTTGATAGGCTTGTGAAATCGCTTTTTAAAATATTTGAGACACACATAGTCAGCTATCCAATGTGCAAGTAAAATTGCTTGAAACGATTAATGAGAAATTTTAGTAAATGTACCAGTTGTAGCCTTCCATAACTAGTTGATGCGCTCGCGATACCAATGTCAGGCCATTAGAATGATTAAAAGTTTCTGAAATATCTTGTCCAAACGTATATCCTGCCCCGCGAGGAGAAATACCCCACCCTCCTCTATCATCTGGGTCTGACCATAAGAGATCACACATAGGACCCTATATAAAATATAGACAAATATTATATGATCTTTACTTTATTTCTTCTTTAATTCAAAGAACAAAGAATACATACCTCGTGTGGTACTTCTTGGATACGATCTAGAGCTCGTATATGATCTAATGTATCGATCGATGGCGATAAACCACCGTGCAAACAAAAGATTTGACCATCTACCAGTGCGGTTAATGGCAAATAGTCAAACAGGTCTGTAAAGAACTTCCACACATTGGCATTACCGTATTTACGTAAACATTCATCATAAAATCCATACACTTGTGTGATTTGTCGTGACTCATGATTACCACGTAAAATTGTTATTCTTTCTCTATATCTGACCTATATTTATGTATAAAGTATTTGAAAAATTTTATTAAACTCCATCTATTCCTTGTATTTGTACTATCTTTTCACTAAAAATATCCATTTATTATTTACAATAATCCTACCTTAAGTGCAACTAACAAGGTAACAGTTTCAACAGAATAATAGCCACGATCTACATAGTCACCCATAAAGAGGTAATTCGTATCTGGGGATTTGCCTCCTATTCTGAACAATTCCATTAAATCATGGAACTGTCCATGTACATCTCCACATACTGTTACGGGACATTTTACTTCTTGTACATTAGATTCTTTAGATAAGATTTCCTTTGCCTAAAAAACAAAAATCTCATTACCACCTCCGGTCTTAAATGGAATAATATTTAATTCAATTAATATTTTTTTATTTTAATTCATATAACATATCGACTGTTGTATATAAACATTTGAACATTTGCTGGCATTTTAATATAATCATGATACAAATGAATCAATGGCATCTTACTATTATATTTCATGATAATTTAAAAATAATATTTCAAACATTTTACATTTTAAAATTTCTTTTTTAAAAGATCATATATTTTTCTCCCGAAGTAGAAGAAAATTAGTGGTGGCTAAAACCAAAAAGTTTGGTTTTAGATTCGATACATTGATACAATTCAACAAATAATACCATACTTGTTGG